CAGCATAGTCGATCGCCTGCCAGCGTTGCGTACAGGAGCCGCGCCAGCGCTGCAGAAAGGCGGCCTGCCAACAGAGCAGGTCGACGGCGTGCCAACGCTGCAGCAAGGCGGCGTCCAGCGTTGCACCGTCACGCATCTGTCAGCTATTATCTGCGCTTGTCAAGCCACATCGACTTCGGGATACCAGCCCGAAGTCGCTTTCACCATCGCGGCCTCGGCGCCGTTCGCATTCCTTCACAGAACCTCGCCGAGGTAACTTGGTCGACTGGGTCGACCACCCAGAGCCCTGGTCGACGACCTCCCTCATCGACCACAGCTCCCGTCGAGGACCGCCCTGGTCGACGGACCCCTTCACTGACCGACACAGTCGACTGCAGCCGTAGAGCTCCATCTTCGGCAGCTCCTCAACAGACCTGCGCAGACCGACGAACTGCCTCGACAACCCTGTCGAACTCGACCGCCGGCTCCCGTCGATGGCGGCATTGCTGCGGTCGTTTGGAGGTCGACAACTCCGTCGACCAGCACGTGCCGAACCCTGCACAATAGTCGGCCGCACCACCCGCGCGCCTAACCAAAGAAGTCAGCGTCGCCCAAGCGAGGGCGGGGCCAACAACCCACTCCCGTCAGCAATCTCCATCCCCATCCCCATCCCCATCCCCATCCCCATCCCCATCCCCATCCCCATCCCCATCCCCATCCCCATCCCCATCCCCATCCCCATTCCCATCTCCATCCCCATCCCTATTTCAACTCCATCCCCATCCCCATCCCCATCCCGATCCTCATCCCCATCCCCATCCCCATCCCCATCCCCATCCCCATCCCCATCTCCCTCCCCATCCCCATCGCCATCGCTGCCTGCAGGATCGTGTCAGGCAACCAGTTCACGGGGGCCGTGCCCATGCCAGCCTCCAAGAGCCTGGCCACGGTGGACGTGCAGAGCAACTACTTCTCCTCCGCTCCCACCCGCCCCAAGAACTGCTCCGCTGTGCGCCTCTGGCTCTTCGACAACTGCCTGCCCACCACCACCACCCTCTGTGGGCTCAACCAGGAGCAGCGAAGCAAGGAGAGCTGCACCGCGTTCTGTGGGGTGGGGCAGGGCGGGGCGCTGTGCGGCGGGCATGGGTACTGCTTTATGAATGATAGCAGCAGCAGTGTGGCTGAGTGTGTGTGTGAGGAGCACTACTCCACTCGCAACGACCCGCACACATGCACTTACACGAGTAAGCAGATTAATGCATGAGCAAATGCTAAGCACCGCTTGGCGTTTTGTGTCTTCCACTTGAGCATCATTAGCACTGTGTCATCATTCCTGCACCAAGCCATCTTCCTGCCTCATCTCTCCCAGTTCCCGTCCTGTTCTCTTTCACCCCTCCAGTTGACCCTGTGCAGGCCTCCTCTGCTTCCACCCCCATGATGCTGAGTGGCTCGGCGCTGACCTCTGCTGGCGGCGCGCTGCTGCTCACCCCCAAGGCCAACGTCAAATGGGGCACGGCTTTCACAGCGGCGCCTCTCCCCCTCTTCTCCTACTTCAACACCAAGGCCACATGCGGTTACCAGCTCGCCTTCAATGCATCCCTTGCCTTCTCGCTCGACCCGGACTCAGAGGCGGGCGGGGATGGGCTCATGTTTGTCGTTGCTGCGGCGATGCCAGACCGGCTGGGAAGGGTGGGGAAGCGGAGTGTGGCAGTAGAGTTTGACTCGGTACTGAGTGTAAAGCACAGCCACCCCAACGACAACAACGTTGGTGTCAATGTGGGCGGCTCACCTGTGTCCCTCGCCTCTGCCACGGCCCCTCTCATCCTCAACGACGCCCACACCAAGCACGCCTGGATCCACTACGACCCCACCAGCGGTGGCACCCTCCGAGTCTTCCTCTCCTCCGACCCCCAGCAGCCCCCCACCCCCACCCTCCGAGCTCGATTTTCCCTCTGCTCCATCCTGCATCCCAAGGCGTCCAGTGCTTCATTCTATATCGGCTTCAAAGCGGCGTCCACCGCTGGCCCACAAGCACACTTGATCCTCAACTGGACCTTCACTGCAGGTATGCACATCTCAGGTATGTATGCCCCTCTCATGTATGTATGTGTGTGCCTCTTAGGTATGTGCCTCTCAGGTATGTGCCTCTCAGGTGTGTGCCTCTCAGGCTGATTTTTATGGGATATACACGTTTCGGTTTCACTACCGTTGAGACTTGTCCCGCTCCTCTTGTCGCTTGTATCCAATTGGATTATGCCTCCATATCAATGCCTTCTGTTACTGCTTGCCACTAACCCACTCCGTCCATGCGGTTTGCTACTGTGGGTGCAGATGTTCTGCTCAACCCACGATTTGACCCTTCAAGTGAGTATGCTTGGCTTTTCTTTCTCACCGTGTGTGAGTCTATTCCTATAGATTCTTTCTCCCCTTGACTCTTAACACGGCTCCTCTCAACTCCAAACCCTCGCAACTCCCACTCCTCCTTCCTCCGTGCACCAGACTTGGCGTTGGGGTTGGTGGATTTTTTCTCATCGCAGGACTTCAACTCCTTCTTCCACTACGCCAGTGCGGGCTTCAACCCCGCGCAGGACAATAGCCCCGCGTGGGCTTTCAAGTCCTACAGCACCTGGGTCTGGCATGAATTTGTCTGGCCTGTCAAGAACCAACGGGGCTGCGGTGAGTCGTATGTCTGCAAAAGGTGTGAATGGTAGGATAGGCACAAGGTATGGCTTAAAGTTGAAATTTGTGATGAGGGGGTTCTTGAAATGAGAGAACTGAATGCGTCGAAGAAGCTTCGTATAGCCTTGTGTGCTCTTCCGCACCCACAGGCTTTTTTCCGGGTCGTTCTCGAGACGCTTCTCCGTTCCTTCCATTAGCTGCAGCAGATCATAGTGGTCAAGTATGTTCTCCATCTTGAAAATCCACTCAGCAAAGTTGTCCAGGCAAGGCCAAACACTCTAAGCTCATCCTTAAAACGACCAAAACTTGGTTGCATAGAAGCTAGAGATGAGCACCGGGCAAACATCAAACATGTTCGCCCGAACAGTCAGGAACACATTCAGTGGGCGAACCGAACATGTTCGGTTTGCCCGAACACTTTTACAGAAATGATATGCTTGATGTTCGCCCACTGTGGGCGAACATCTTAAAGGGGGGCGAACAGTTGACATGTTCGGGTTCGCCCACTGCAGGGGGGGGGAATCTGCTTATGTTTTAGTGGATATGAGCTTTTGTTGGGATATTGGATGCTCATTCCTTTACCGTTCCCACCCCTTGGATTCACCCTTAAACCATGAAAACCTGTTTCAGAATCATGAAATGGGGTCCACTGAACTAAACCAATGCTGAAACTAGAAGTTTCCACCAAGGTAACCGTGACGTTGTATAACATAAGGCGATATCTGCTTGTACAACCCTAAAAAACGGCCTTATGTTTGCCTAACTAACAGTTGATGGTGGCGCTAGTTTAGGAAGGTACTATGGGTGGCGGATTGGCTAGCCTTAACCCTAGAAAAGTAGATCGAGCTGTGAAACAGCACGATCTACTTTCCCCGTCACTTTCGTACCCAACCAGCGCAACCAATGTCGCGCTGGAATGATGTTCGGGAGAACACGATACATGCCCAAACATGTTCGATGTTCGGGCATTTTACATTTGTGCGCCGCGAACATGTGGGCATTTAACAAAAAAAAAAAAAAAAAAGTTTGGTTCGCCCCCGGACAAGTTCGGGCGAACCGGACCCGTGTTCGCCATTTTGCTCATCCCTTATGGAAGCCATGGGGGGATCATGGGGTTGGTCTTGAGCTTGGGCTTCTCCACTGCCTCTAGCACCTCTGCCACCCCTTTCCTCAGGTCTAGCCATTGTCGAAACTGCTTCAAGAGGCTCTGATACCACATGTTATAATCACAATCTGCTCAAATGTGCCGAAAATGAAAGATAGAGTGCACAGACGGATTTCTGCAGAGCAGTTTAAAACTTGATAGCGGACTGACCACATCACTAAATGGCGTGTTATTAATTGAATTTGGAGCGTTTTAACGCTGTCTACAATTACCAAGTTGAATTACACGATTTGATAAAGAACAAACAACATGAGAGTAGTTTGAGCGAGCGGCGGTCTAACAGCAGCTATAGCGTTAAGACATAAGAAAGGTTACGAGTAGGGAATGACTCTGCCTCTACAAACCCCAAAAGTCGAGTTCTAGGGAGCTGGAATAGTGCCACATAGTCCTCAACCTCGAAAGGTGTGAAAATCACCCACCATAAAATTCTACACAAAGAACTACGTTACACTACACAATACAATGTAACTATTTTCACTATCTTGGTGTTTTCTGTGTTTCGCAAACTCTGAAATCACTTGATTCTTGAAACCAAGACTCCTGGTTTTGAGCATGAATTCTTTCTTGAGTTTTTCAATGCTTGCTACACACACCTGCGACACGCCGAACTATCGACACACGTCATAATAGAAAGCGCACACGACACGCAAACGACAACATGACATGCGACTAGCGAAAATTCGCTATTGACTCGACACACACATTCAACATCATGACTCATCATTCACACAATATTATAAGCATGAAAAATATATTATCCTCCTATACCATTCCATAGAAGCACGCACAAAGACAGCAAACTGAGTGCAAACCATAGAATTGTACCAACAAAGGTATGGCTTGGAGTTGAAATATGTGATGAGGGGGTTCTTGAAATGAGAGAATTGAATGTGCCAAAGAAGCCACATGTAGCCACACATCGAGTGAGATTAATGGTCGCACTTATCATTTTGCACACTATGCCCTCCCCATGCCATGCTCCCGCACAACGCTTGCACACTCTTTGTGCGTCCCTGCCAAGTTTGTGGGTGGGAGTGAGCAGCATGGAGCATGTGAACCTTGTTGCGTACCTTGTTGTCTCCCATCCCACCACAAACCGTTTGTGAATGTCATAGCAGCATTTTCTTACAAGCTATCTTGAGATCAACCTGCCAGCAATCGTTATTCGTAATAGACTATGAGAGTATATGGGTCCGATCCCATTGTGCCCCCCTCATGCTCTCCTCCAGGTGATTGCTGGGCGTACGCAGTGGTGGCAGCGGTGGAGGCAGCCCACGGGATCGCGGGCGACTGGGCGCAGGCCCCCGTGCTGTCGGTGGAGCATCTGCGCCTCGCCCTCTCCTCCAACTGCGACGGTGGCTCGCCCACCAAGGCGCTGCAGTTCCTCCTCAACGCCACCGCGCAGGGCAAGGGCTTGCTGGAGGAGGCTGCGTACTCTCAAGGGCTGGCTCTTGAAGGAAGATCGTTGGTGAGTTGCTGCATGTATTAATTATTTATGTTTGGGCATTGTTGCTTGTATCTGCTGTTGGTGGGGGGTTGTGACACTGTTTCTATGAATGTTGTTCTGTCTGCAGTCTATGTCTCTCTCCATATTCATCTTCCCTGCCTTCAGGTTAGCACCCCCAAGTACTATGGAATCCGCGGCATCGAGCACACGGGGTTCTACGGGTGGCTTGGGCTCATGCTGGCAGTGCAGCACCAGCCTGTCATTGTGCACATCGAGGCGTCCGCACCCTCCTTCCAAGACTACGATGGGGTAAGGCACCCTCCTTCCAAGACTACGATGGGGTAAGGCACCCTCCTTCCAAGACTACGATGGGGTAAGGCACCCTCCTTCCAAGACTACGATGGGGTAAGGCACCCTCCTTCCAAGACTACGATGGGGTAAGGCACCCTCCTTCCAAGACTACGATGGGGTAAGGCACCCTCCTTCCAAGACTACGATGGGGTAAGGCACCCTCCTTCCAAGACTACGATGGGGTAAGGCACCCTCCTTCCAAGACTACGATGGGGTAAGGCACCCTCCTTCCAAGACTACGATGGGGTAAGGCACCCTCCTTCCAAGACTACGATGGGGTAAGGCACCCTCCTTCCAAGACTACGATGGGGTAAGGCACCCTCCTTCCAAGACTACGATGGGGTAAGGCACCCTCCTTCCAAGACTACGATGGGGTGAGGCACCCTCCTTCCAATACTACGATGGGGTAAGGCACCGGCACCCTCCTTCCAAGACTACGATGGGGTAAGGCACCCTCCTTTTAGGACTACAATGGGGTAAGGCACCTTAACGCAAACTGATATCAATTAAGAAATAAGACAAGAAAATGCAATCCTGTAAGATTAATGAAAGGATTCCACGTGCAAGCCGAGGAATGCCAGGACACTGAAACCAACCCCATATATACAAAGCCATTGGTCCTTTGCACACCCGGTCTTGGGCAAGGTGCACGGGGATTGTTGTGCACAGATCTGTTCAACTGAGAGACCGGTTCAACTTAAATGTTTCGTAGTATCTATTTGCACATGTTTTACACAAGATGTTTTTCTGTTGTGTGTCCTCTCTCCACATGTACGGTGTGTACGCGGGCAGAGAGGCAAGTACGCGGACGAGGAGTGTTTCAGCAACCACCTGAACCACGTGGTGCTGGTGGTGGGCTACCTCTCTGCTGGCTTCGACCCCTCCAAATCCGCCGTGCCGCCGCCCTTCTGGATCATCCGCAACTCATGGGGCACAGGCTGGGGCGACCAGGGCCACATGCGCATGGACATTCGCAGTGGAGTTGGCATCTGCGGCATCAACACTCTCCCGGGCCTCTTCCCCGTCGTCAGAAGTGAGGCGGATAGTTCTACCTGTCGATTTTTGCATCTCTCTGCTGACAGCTGGTGAATTCACCCTCCGTCTGTACCGTAGCACATTAGCCTTGTGCCCACACCCCCTTCCCACCTGAGGTATTGAGCAGGCAGTGCTGATCCGTGTGGGTCACGCTCCTTCCAGTACAGCATTCAAGGCCCCGTTTTCAACCCGTGTGGGCGGTTCGAGTGCAGCGAGAAGGGCACCAGCAATCGCTGCAAGTGCACTGACACCCGCTTTGCTCAAGTCAAGAACACCGATGGGTCGTACACCTGTGCCTATGGTAACATACACCGGGAAGGGTCAGTGCTGATTTTGCATTGTGTGATTTTGAAAGTTTTTAACACGTGCATCAAATGAAGTTTTTCTTGACAGATCATTCAGTTCTGTTGAGTTCTTCTATACTGAAAGGCACATCCCCGCTTTCTAAACTTGGGTTCTTCTATACCTGCACTGCACATGTGCAATGTCCGCTCATGCCCGTGCGTGCACCCACACCCTTTGATGCTTGCTCCATTCACCTCCTTCCACGCCCACAGCATGCCCTCCCCATCCACATCCCCATGCTCAAGCATAATTGATGCCAACCCCATTCTTCTGACCTCGCCACCAGTGGACGTGTGTGGGTCCAGCAGTCGCAACCCGTGTGTGGTGGGCACGTGTGTGAACGATGGCAAGGGCAGCTACTCCTGTGTGTGTCCCCCGGGGTTCATCCAGGGCATGACCCTCGCCAACACCGCCTCCTGTGCTCCCGGTAACATCCCTCTGCTGCTATCTGCTCCCTCATCCTGTGCTCCGGGCATTTGCAACCTTCTGGTAACAATCAACTTCTTGTAACCAACCCTTGTAGGTAACACCTGCGCCTGCCCAACTCAAAATGGCCCATGCTATGTCTTTTCTTGCATGCTTCTTGGTCTGCTCGCACCTCGTGCTCCAATCATGCTTTCACTGACATGGTCGTGCTGGGTTTTGAATGTGTGAGGCGGTGTGGTGCAGGGGATGCAGGGGGGGTGTACACGGTGCGGCAGAGCAACGTGTGGTGCTCCGATGTGCATCCCATATTCGCCCTCACACTGGACCAGTTCCTGCAGCAGAACAAGGTAGCTAAGTGCTGCACCCCTTGGTATAGTGCAGTTACAATCGGAGAGGGATTCTAACACAACCCCTTAACCTCTATAGATGCGGAATGGCTTGAGGGAAGCAACCCTTGAATCAAGGCACGCCGGGGGGAGCGAGGCCGATGAGGCGGAGAAGAGCAGAGTGCGCAGGGCGAAGAAGGGCTTTAGAAAAGATATCAGCCAAGTTTGCTTCTGCAGCGATCTTGCGAACGGGAATGAGGCCCTGTTGGACAAGCTCACGGATGAAGAAGTAGCGGAGTTCAATGTGTTTGGAACGGCCGTGGAAGACGATGGGGGTCCTGGGTGAGATGGATGGTGCTGGCGTTGTCACACCAGAGGGTGGGGCAGCGCTGGGGGGCACCAAGCTTGGCAAGAAGAAAGCAAAGCCAGCGGGATTCCTGAGCAGCCATGGTGCCAGCATAAAGTTCGGCTTCACACGAGGAGAGGGAAATGGCAGAGGAGCGTGTAGAACGCCAGCTGATAAGTCCGCTGCCAGGCGTGAAGCCATAACCTTGCGAGGAGAGACGGTCGGCTGGGAGTCCGCCCAAGAGGAGTCGCTGAAGCTAGTTAGAAGTGGAGGGGAGAAACCACCGAGTGTGAGGGCATGATCCTTGGTGCCGCGAAGGTAGCGGAGAACCCGTTTGGTGGCGGTCCAGTGTTCTTCAGTGTGGCGGCTGTGTGCCTACGAACCGAGCGAGGACACTGATGGGGTGGGGCAGGCGCCACTCTCTAGAGGGCGGGCGCCACTCTCTAGAGGGCGGGGCCACTCTCTAGAGGGCGAGCGCCACTCCAGAGGGCGGGCGCCACTCTCTAGAGGGCGAGCGCCACTCTCTAGAGGGCGGGCGCCACTCTCTAGAGGGCGGGCGCCACTCTCTAGAGGGCGGGCGCCACTCTCTAGAGGGCGGGCGCCATACTCTAGAGGGCGGGGGTGGGCGCCACTCTCTAGAGGGCGGGGGTGGGCGCCACTCTCTAGAGGGCGGGCGCCACTCTCTAGAGGGCGGGCGCCACTCTCTAGAGGGCGGGCACCACTCAGGACGGGTGCACATCATGGCGTACATTAGTGACCCAACGAGCTCGGCATAGGGTCGAGAGGAGGAGGGAGCGGTGGGCGGCGCCAGCTGGTGACCGAAGGGGAGGGTGGTGGAAACCGGTTTGACCTGTTCCATCTCAAATTTCTCCAACACTTGGCCGATGTAGTGAGACTGGGAGAGGGTGATGGCGCGGGCAGGTCGATTACGGGTGATGGCCATGCCAAGGTAGCTTTGCAGCGGACCAAGGTCCTTGCACTTGAGACGCTCCTAGAGTGTCCGCTCACCTGGTCCATGTCAGTTTTGGAATCGGCAAGAAGGATCATGTCGTCAACGTAGACCGAGATGAAGAAGCGACGGGGCTGGCCGACCTGCACGGGGGCCATTGCGAGGGCGCGACTTCGGGAGGGCGCCGAATTCGGGAGGTCGACTTGGGCGGTCGACCTGTGGCGGGCGTCAACTTGGTGACGCCGACCTAGAGGAGCCGACGTCGGTGGTCGGCTGACAGCTGCGCTGGTCGAATTGGGACCAGGACAGTGGTCGATCTGGAGCTGGTCGACCAGGGATGTAGTCGACATGGTGTGGTCGACTAAAGGTGGTCGTCGACCTGGGTGGTCGACGGGCACGGGGAGGAGTTGGTCGACGAGATGGTTGCCCGGTCGACCAGGTTCCCCGTGCGACGGAGCTTTTGCGGAGGCGTGCGAAGGTCGCCGGGGTAGCTTCTGCGAGACCGACCTCGGGGGTGGTATCCCGAGGTCGACGTGGCTGGTGGGCGCAGTCGCTGGCGTATCCTCGGCTTGGGCATCCGCGCTGTGCAGGTGACAAGGCATGGTGCACCAACCAGCTGCGCGCACCTGCGAAGCAAGTGTACCGTTGTCCCGCGGATGCAACACTGTACAGCCGACTTGCTGCTGCGTTGGCACACTGTGGACTTGCAACATTGGCGAGCCGCATCTATGCACTGCTGGAGCGCGGTCGACCAAGTCGTGCTGGAACGCGGTCGACCGTGCTGCGCTGGCAGTCGACCAGCAGTTGTGCTAGCTTTGATGCAGTCAATATTGCCAATGTTGTTGCTATCATTCTGTATCATTATTGTTGTCAACTTTCCTAGTGAAACTCTTGCCAATTTTCCCCGTGAACTAGCAAGCAGTGTGCGCATAAGGAAACGACTAAGGAACGAACGCAGAGATTACCTCTACCCCGTGCCTAGCCCGTAGTCTAGCTCCCGTTGATAGAGTTATCTCCGCATGGTGCGGTGAGCGTGGACGGCCCCGCAACGATACCTTCGATCTAGCGGACTTCGCATTTATCTACGTTGTTCGCAGGCCGACAGCTGTGTAGTCACTCTTGTGGGCGTAGGTGACGCCGAGGTGATGGACACCCTGGAGGCACAGCTGGAGGATGCGAGGAGACGCCATGAGGCGCGCGAGTACGGGGAAATCCCCTGGGCGGTCGTCGAGGCTGGCATTCGCGCTGTGTGGGCGGCGGAGCACCCTTCTCGACCGGCCCCTCCTCGACCAGTGACCACCGAGGGCGGCGTCGACGTGGCGGTCAACGCCGGTGACCAAGTCGGCAGCAGTGCGGGAGGCACGTCGTCGAGGCAGAGAGGAGTGATACACGCCGGGAAAGCCGGCGGCGTTCAGGCGCGAGGAATGCAGTCTTCATGCAGGCTCTCACAGGGCGACCCACGTCGGAGCAGTTTGACGCCGGTTTCGACGACCCACGTGACGGCACGCGAGATAGCGCCGAGCTATGGCTGCTTCAAATTTATGCCGGACAGGATTTTTGTCAACCCCTTGCTGGTCGGTCGACCCGACATCCTCACCTGGAAGGAAGCCATCGAGCCCCAGCTGGAGATGGCCGGGCTAATGTGCTTCGCTACCAGCACCGTGGCGACGCCGCCGGAGAACAACCCTGAGTTGCGTGCTGAGTTTCCCGGCTTGCAGCTGTTGACCTTTACGGTCATCTTGCTGTGCTGCTCGCTGGGCGTACAGATCATCTTGAAGCCGTGCAGGGACTATCTGGACGCCGGCCACCAGGCATGGCACTTCATCGAGTCGACGTACCAGGTCACCGACGACCTGTACATCGGCCAGCTCGAGGAGCAAATGATGCACCTGCGAATGGGCGAGCAAGAGGCGGCGACGGGCTACTGCAACCGGGCTCGGCGACCTCTCGCCACTATGAGGATGGCCAGTGTGCGTTCTCGACAGCGTCGTACGTCACGCACAGGGCTTTCGAGCAGCTACCACCTGCTGAAGCGACTGTCGGTAGTGCCAAGCACGCGGGAGACACTCAACGAGGACTCCCTGACCTCGTACATCCTGCGGGACGAGGCGATGTAGGAAGCCGAGCGATCCTCGCAGCTCTTACCACAGGCAAACTACGCCGCCTCGGCGAAGCAAGGTGGTCGCATGGGGCAGCGCGGGTAGTCTGGCGGCAGTGGGAGCAGTGGCGGGAAGCCGGCAAAGGACGCCGATAAGAAGAAGGATGGCGGCCGTGGAAGAGGAGGTCGGCGTCAAGAGTGCTGGATTTGCCACAGCCCCAATCACCTCTCCTTTGAGTGCCCCGACCGGAGTGATCCCGACGACGACGATGCTAAGGGAGGTCGCGGAAGATCGGCCAGCCGTCGTCCACATCGAGGAAGCAAGTCGCGCAAGGAGAAGCAATCGAACAAGTCGATCTCGGCGAAAGATGCTGACTCCTCCTCTGCTGGCGGCAAGGGGCGAGACGACAAGGAGGCGTCGTGCTCGCTGGTCGGCGTCGTGGAGCCGACCGTCTCGCTGGCGCCGAGGCTGGCGAGGACTTCCACGCAGTGGCGGCAGCTGTGCAGGCAAACCCGGCGGTGGTCCTGCTCGACAGCGGCTGTTCGCACCACCTGATGGGGACG